ATATACTAAATTTACGATAAGTGGGTACGAAACATCTAAGGTGTTGTAATATGTTTGTTTAGAAGAACATAAAAAAGTGGCAACAACGCAAGGTGCCACAAAAGCGTTGATTGTCTCAATTTATATACAGATGGGTGCCTTATTACTGTTGATTTTGATTGTGCTTCTTTTACATTATTTATCAAATCGGTATATGCACCGGGCGTCACAATTACATTCATCCTACAGGGTGCCACTTAATACAAAACTTATGTATATATATATATATAGTTTAGTTGAGATATTGAAATTTTTACAGTTAAACTAATTAGTTATTTATAACCTGTCCATTTTATTTCCAATTTGCATTTTAAGTAGTAATTCGATATTTATTTATTTTTTTTATTTAAATCTGAGTTTAGAATTATTAAAATAAACTTTCAATGTGTAAAGCAAATTACAAAATATGTTTAACGCGTTTTAGTCTTTAAAACTTGCCGTATAATTTAATTCCGCATTTCATTTAAATAAAGAGATTAAGAAGACAACGGAAGAAAATCACGTGAGAGAAAATTCGCGAATCCATGACCTCTTAAATTCAGTCCGTCGTCGAAAATAATTTGAACATCTGAAATAATACACAAAGAATAATTTCACGAGGCCTTCAAGAATAAGGATTTTATTTGGAGCAGACGGGTGAAATTAATTGTGAATAAAACCCCTCGGCTAATATCTTTCTGAATTTTACAGCTACACAATCGCAATTTGGTATTTAAATAATCCTTTAGTTTATCTCACCGAATTATTTATTATTCCGACTTCTCTGGAAAGTTAAAGGAATAAACCAGGAGACAAAATGTGTTCTCCAATCTAGTTCTATTTATCTTACCAGAAAGTAAACCTCAGAGAGCAAGAAATGTAAACTAGAACGTTTGAAATTCAAATGCATATACCTTTTAGCAGTTGCTTATTACAATGGCTTTTCGTATTATCTTTTCATAGTGGATTCGAACAATTGTTGCGTCGTTCTTTCTGTCACCTGGAGTGCTTAAATATTGAGCGCAGAAATTTGCCATTCCCCGCGGACAGAAATTAGGCAAATATTTTCCCCCGTTATTAATCTTGGCGCGCATTTGCCTATGAATGGAAATCTCGAGGGATGTTGAAGCTTAAGCTCCATTAAGTGCCCCTTCATTGTACGTATCGGACGCGCGTAATTCTTGTCTTGGCGATAAATCATCAAGGTACTTTAAGAGATGAGCAACGTAATGACAATTCGGTTAAGTGTTTTCGAAACGAACGCCATATGTTGAGTGCTTCTGGCAATAACACTAAATTCCAGACGGAAGTTCTGCTAAAATTCTGCATGGCTTACCGAACTTTTGCTGGCTCATTTTAATCGATTTCGAAGTGCGCGCTTCAAAGTAACTTATTAAATAAGAGAATTTAAGTTAGAAATTGAATGCTTATCCGTCAGCAAAATCTAACTATTCTATTAAGAGGTAGTTGCGAAGGTTCTCAAAATTTGTTGCAGTGTTATGACTTCCGGATTTGTATTATTAACTCGTTGTGTGGCAAGCTCCATGTTACCAAATCGCAAATACGAAGCTGAAATTGCTGAATTAAATTTTAAATGTAAACTTATCGTTAAAGGAGAATGGACTTTCAATTTAAACCCTTTTGACTCGAACGCAAGGGATCCAAACAACTCCATTAGTGAACTGTTTTAAAACAAACTAACACTCAGAAAATCATTTAATTAACTCTAACAATTACCTAACCTATGAAACCAACAAAATTTGTTAATGAGTTTTATGAGTTTTACTAGAAATATTCGAAATTAATCTGATGGCTATATTTTAAGTCTGAAAGGTGTTTGAAAATAATAATTATGAGAGGTAATTATATATTTGACACGTAAGTTATGGTCAAATTTTTATTTAAAGAGGCTTTTTTTATTTTTTATTGTACAATCCCGGAGAATTTATGATATAAAATCTAAAAATTCACCTGATAGTCAAGTATGTCTAAATAATAAGGTTTTTCGCGTGTGATGTTTGTAAATGAACAGGATTAACTCCGAGTTCCCTTAATATTACTCCCATCACCAATTTTTAAAACCAGAAGTTTCTTGTACATATTAGCAAAAACTATGATGACAGCAGTAATAGTAATCGAATATAAATAACATTGCTGTAATACCGAGAGAACAATAAAAACATGATCAAAGACAGTCATGGATGTTTGAAGATTTCTCTTTTCAACTTTCAAATTGATGGTAACCTTACTAGACGAAAATTTTAACAAAGACAAATCTTCAAAAACAAGTGCCTGTCTTTGATCGTGTTTATTTATTTATTTACTTATTTATTTATTTATTTATTTATTTATTTATTTATTTATTTATTTATTTATTTATTTATTTATTTATTTATTTATTTATTTATTTATTTATTTATTTATTTATTTATTTATTTATTTATTTATTTATTTATTTATTTATTTATTTATTTATTTGTAATGAATATTATTGTACCAATAAGTATGAAAATTAAAACAAAAATGGTCCTTCACAAACGCCATATCATAAATCATCACTACATAGTACAGGGCTTTCATAAATGATTCTAAGGGCGTAGTTGGCCATGGATTTCAAAAATGCCGCTTTGCTGAAATTGTCTCATTTGACAGTTCTCACTTGTCATTGTGCTTGTCATTTGTAACCTGTCACTTAAAATCATCGCTTTTATTGTTCTACCACTTTCCAAGTGTGATTTACAGTAATTCTCGTTGATCCAAGTTTAAAACAACAAAATAGCCTTTCTCAAGGCTCTTGGTGCTTGCGTGCGAAAACTTTGTGCTCGAAGCGAAGACCGTGAAAATGGTTTATTCGGTTGAGCAAAACACTTTCATCGTTATGTCTTATTATCGCAATGGGACATTCGTAGACGGAGCGTGGCTGTATTCTGTAGCCGCTTGTAAGCAAGAATATCTGGCCAATTACCCTGATTTGGAAATTCAAGAAACATCATTAGAGGCTCACATTAGAGATGTCATCAACAGATTTGTTCGCACTGGCAATGTCAACAAAGGGAAATCTTCTGGGAGACCTGCAGTATCTGAGGAAGTTGTTGATGATTTGAGAGAAAGACTCGAGCAGAATCCCCAAACATCTTTGACAAGATTATCTCAACAGTCAGGAGTTCCCGTAACCACATGTCACAAAGTAGTGAAAAAACGATTGCATATGCATCCTTACAAAATAACTACTGTGCAACAACTTTTACCAATAGATCCTCCACGCCGCGTAGAATATTGCAATTGGTTTCAGAATACTTTTCATGATGACGGGTTACTGGACCTTACATTTTTTAGTGATGAAGCATGGTTTCATTTATCTGGCTATGTCAATTCGCAAAATTTTAGAATTTGGTCCGCGGAAAATCCACATGTTTTTGTAGAGACGCCTCTTCATCCTTTAAAAATTGGAGTATGGTTGGCAGTTTCTCGTAGACGAATATATGGACCTATTTTCTTTCATGATACTATGACTGGAGAGAGGTATAGGCAACAGATTTTGGAACCATTTATTCAACAACTTGATGACGAAGAGCTGCAGTTAGGGTACTTTCAACAGGACGGCGCGACTGCACACACTGCACGTGCTACATTGGAATATTTACAACAACATTATGACGATCGTGTAATAAGTTTAGGAGTACCGCATGCATTTCCACCACGTTCCCCAGATCTTACGCCATTGGACTTTTCAATATTTGGATATTTGAAAGACAAAGTGTTTCAACGGCAAATGAATAACTTGGCAGAGTTGCAACATGAAATTGAACGATGGGTTCAAAGCATTGATGGAAGGATGTTACAGAACATTTTTGAAAGTAAGAAAAAGAGAGTGAATATGTGCCTTGAACTAAATGGTGAACATTTTCAACATTTACTGTGATGTTTAACCACAATAAATTTGTTTGTTTATTCCATTATGAATTATTTTTATTTTTAACAACAAATTGACTATCAAGAATGTTGGAGTTCCGCGCATGAGGGTAACAAATTACGCCCGCGTAATTTCAAATGTTCAAATTCTATGTGGGTGACCTAATTTTGCATTGAAACGAATCTGTACACAAAAAAAACAACAAAAATCAAAAACTAGTCTTTAAAATTAGCAACGAAAGTATATTTTGAAGCTTGATACTTAAAATGAAATCACACTACGTTCTAAATACCTATTTATTATGTACAACAAAATTTTTGATAGAATGAATGAAATCTCAAACCGTAAAAACTCTGATTATTATCCGTGTCCGTTCACCCATCTGGTGGTCCTTGATTTTATATGACTCTACGATGAGGGTTTAGAAGCTACCCAGCAGTCAAAGTTATATTTGGATTTTTATCTTTTACGTTTATACATTTTCGTTGAATATGTACTTTTGTGGCGGGAAGTGAAATATTAATTTTGTAATATACTATTGTTTTGTGGCTAATTAAAGAATTTCGTGTAATTCTTATGAAAAGGACAATGGACAGATAAAGTTCTATTATTTTATTAAGTAAAAACAAGCACTAGACATGACAAAACATATTTCAGTATGAGCATCCAAAAGTTTGAAGTGTTAACAAAATGTGCTTGTGTGAAATAATTTTAAGTACAAATCGACATCTAAGATATTTTCACGGCGACAATTTCAAAAATATTAAAAACTAGCAGAATAATTTGTCCGCTATGCTTTGAAAACCTTCAGCATTTTCACTTATTAACGAATCATTTCAACATCGTTTATAACATTGAGTTGGAAGTAAAGGATCTACAATTTAAGAAAACGGAAGATTTTTTTTACACGAAAAGCCGATTTAGAGTTAAAAACTAATTCTTTTATATGACGAATTATTATTTTCTACTATGAATATCAGAAGTAATCTAGCAAATTCTGTTAGTAAATGTAAAATACGAGCTCCTAAAATTAGTGGCGTATCAAAATGCAAGGAGTCTGTCTTTCACGAATTACAGCTCACTTTGATCATTCTTCCTCAGTGGTACTTGTTCAGTTTATTGCTATTCATGTTGTTCATCACAATGATCTTCGCTGTCAACCCCTGACTACAAAAGAAACGACATATCTAGTTGAACAAATTCGCACTGGTGTAACACACGAAAAAATAATTGAAACTGTTAAAAATCTAGAACTCAGTTCATGTACCAGATTTAATCTTCTGACTATGAAAGACATTCCCCACATTGCAGAAAAAATAATATATCTGGTAAATGAAGTAAGGAAAATCTTGTTGTGCATCAGAACATGAAAAATTGCACAAAAATGACTGCATTAGCTTCCATGTACAGTGGGCTGGAGTATATGTTAAAAAAATATGGCGCCAAAATCATTTGTGTAGATGGCACACATGCGACAAACCTCTATGACATTGAATTGACCACAAGTCCATGTGTTAGATGATAAAAATATTGATTATCCAGTAACATTTATTCTGTCCAACTGAAAGGACACCAACATATAAGAGGTTCTGGTTGGTGAAATAAAATCATTAATATCGGTTTTGGTACCCAATTATTTCATGACAGATGATAGTTACAGCTACATATTGGAATGCCTGGAACAATAAATCAGATTCTTACAAAATTAGATTATGTATTAAAAGAAACAGATGAAAATAAATTTATAAGACTGAAGCAAGAGCTGATTAAATTTTTGGTAAAAAGTAAATTTGTGAATTATTTAAACACTTACTACTTTCAAAATAAAGAGCGCATGAAGTCATGGGCCCAGTGTTATCAAAAGAACGCAGGCATTAACACCAACATGCACGCCAAATCTTTGCACAGATCTTTGAAATACAAATATTTTGGTGGTAAACCAATAGAGGGCTGGAAACATATTTAGACACTTTGAAGAAACTACTGAAGGATACATCTTGGTCAAGAATTTCATCTACTTTATGACTTACAGCTATTCACCATGACCTTTTGGTCAGTAAGTCCCATAAACTTGCCACCCAGATAAGTTTTGATAATGTAGCTAAAGAATCTGCTGTAAAACATTTAATGCACTCACAAACCAAAACTAACTTTCATGAAGTAGAACTGATGGATAGGAAATGTAGTTATCAGACATTAAAATGTGTTGTTTGTCAAATTCGTATACACCATTAAAGATACTCTTGCTCTGAGTTCTTAATCAAAAATCATCTTTCTAAGCACATGCATCTGGTGTCCATGTATATAAAGGCATATTTAACCACCAAAGGCCCTTGGTCCCACTGGTCATCAATGCGCCTTCAACTTCTGAAAAACAGTTTGAAAATGAACTACATTTGCGCTTATCTAACTCCGTAACATCGCGCAGAACACGCGCTTCTCGATTTCGCACAAACTGTTTGTGCAAAGCACTTCTACAGCATCTTTTGATCACGTTCCTCATCTTCAAATGTTATGCAAATGCTTCCTTTTGCCACAAAAATTTGTTAAATTTCGCATTCGTGCATTCTTTAATTGCAGCATTGCAGCCGTTGCTAACATAACCTAACTTTTTATGGTCACCAACGCGTGCTAACTTTTTGAAAGGACACACGGGCGCTTCGCCTCCTGCACTTCATTACAAATATACTCCTAAACGTGGAACTTCTTTTTCCGTGGATGATTTAGTTATTGGAATTTGTGCGTGTGTATATCAACATCCAACCAAAAATTTCACTTGTTATCGCTAGTATCGCCTTGTTATGTTAGTCACATGTGTATTGTATTGACGCATGCGTTTTCGATATTTAATCATGAAGCATTTAGGCAACCAGTTATACAGATGCATGTGGTGCTTGTCGTGCCCAAGGACACATTTAGTAAAGTACACATAAAGCGAAAGGCGGCACACATCCATAACCTACTGCGACCCTATAATCATTTATGAAAACCCTGTATAAAACAAAGTCGCTTTCCGCTGTCTGTCCATATGTATGCTTAGACCTTTAAAACTAGGCAACGGATTTTGATGCGGTTTTTTTTAATAGATAGAATGATTCAAGAGGAAGGTTTATATGTATAATAACATCCATTATATAGTAGAGAAATACTGATATTTTTGAGGTTTCTAATGTGATGTCGTAAATAATTATATTTTTTCCGCTTACATTGTAAACGCAGGCTGAACCCTACAAGATTTATAAAAATAATGTACTAAGTATTGTACACCTTGAAAAGGTCTACAGAAAACTCCCCGATGGTATATGTCTATCTTTTATGGATAACCCACAATAACATTGTTTTACTCCGAATTTAACGTGTGCGAAGCCGCGGGCAAAAGCTAGTTTATTTATAATTCAAGTAGTCGCCATTGACAGTAGAAGCAAATATTTACTGCCTACTACGAAGACAAGAAAATTAGATGGTAAGCTGTTTCCACCCAATGCTTGTTTTATACCATTACAAGGAAATTAGATGTCCACAACATATTTTGAATACTTCACAGTAAATACGCTATCAGTGGCTAAACGATGAAACTACTTTAATAGTGTCTTTTTCATTTCTATTGAAACACCACCTGTTGATTTTGCTTAAAATTTTGCAGTTGGGAACAGCTTTCGGTTGATTGACAACGGCTTTTAGTTAGAAAATTGTCAGAATATGAACGTTGCCAAATTTACGCGTAACAAGTGGTGTTTCAATCGAAATGGCAAAGACTATATATCTGTCTCAAGTATCGTAACAAAACTGAGAAAACTTCAACGTTAAAATTGTCAATAGATGAGTACTACATTACATCCTTATGAATATTACCTCATAACGTTATTCATAACCTTTTTTCTTGCGTCACTTAGCTTTAGTATATAGTGGATTATGACAAATAAACATCAAATTTATTTTATTTAATAAACTACCTATTCACATTTTCTTAATTACTAACAAATTCAAAAATTAGGTACATGAAATGGTAAGATGTAATGTATATATACAACATACTTCATAAATTTGAGAAAATGGTGAAATGTAGAGCGGTAACAGCCGACTCAAAGTCAATAGCTCGCAATGATATTTTCATGGACGGGTGCAAAGAGATATCTGCGGTATTGAAAATTACATTTGAACGACACATAAAATATTTCGAAGTTCATTTGAAATTTCAAATATTGCAATACTTACTAGTCATTGAACACGACAACTGTTTTGTATGTGGACGTTCGAAGCTTGTACTCGGCTTGTACAATAAAAAGTATATTTGGACCAGGCCTCGGAATTATTATGCACCGTTTATTTATAACAGGGTAATTATTTTCGGAGACTAAGTAGTCAACCGAATATACTTTAGAACATCGATGGTTATTGATCCAAATGCAATCGGGTTGGCAGATGATTGACACTGCAAAACCAAATGCTCTGAAATATTGTAAATATTTTAAGAATACCGTAATCATGGTATATCGCTAAGGAAAATTTATTCATTTATCTCCTCCCAAAAAATTGATGACGTCATCTTGTGATTTATCACTGCATTAAAAGTTTTTAAATTTCTTATACATGACTCAGAAAAATTAACAAAAGAGTCAATTTATTTTATTGATTAACTCAGGAACGGCTCACCCCGTTTTCCCGAAAATTTGCGAGTACAATACTGTTATCATTAGTATTATACTGCACCTATCTAAAAAAATATGTCTTTGGAAAAATGTTGATGACGTCATCATAAGGCGAGAGAAGTTCTGTCGAAATAATCTTTGACCAAGTTTTCAATTTATAAACAGTTTACACATAGACTGCCGAAGTGTGTGTCTATCAATTATCGAAGAAGCAGCGATTTAAGGATTAATCCAGTCAAAATAGACAAAAAAAATCCTAACAAAATTCGCATAGAGCTGAAAATTGGTATAGACGTTAAATAAACCATTACCAATGAAATGTCAAAAATCTCCTTCGATCCTACTTCTGAAAAAAAAATTATCCAAGGTCAAATGTTAAAAATTCAGGTTTTTCCCATTTTTCCCTGAGACCGTAAGTTTTATCGTAAAAATAGGCTAGACAAAAGTTGTAGATCATACAATTCTCTACAAAAATTGTTCCAATACTTTGTTTCGTACGAATCACCATTCGTGGGATATCGCGATTTTAAAAGTTGAAAAATTCATATTCTACATAATAGGCAAATATACTCGTAATCTGCAAATATAATACAAATTCTACATAATACGCAAATGTACACAAATGCTATCTACATAATCGATGGAGGCTATCTACTACACCGTATGGTATGGGATCGAAATGAAACATTTCATGTTATTTTTGATAAATATGTTCAATATGTGCAAAGACATTTTGATCATAACATTACGATTGTATTTGATGGTTATACTGATCATAAGAAAAATATTAAAGCTTCAGAACAACGTCGTCGAACTAAAAACACATCTTCATCTGCAGATATCGTTGTTGATCGATTTATGGAAGTTCCAACAAACCAACAACAGTTTCTTGCAAATAGGTACTCATAATGTCATAATAAGTCTCGCTTCATTTCAATGCTATGTGAAGAGTTTACAGCTGCTGGTATTTCAATAAAACATGCTGATAATGATGCTGATGTCCTTATAATTGAAACAGCAATACAACAATTCAAAAGACCAAATACAACTGTCGTCGTTCGTGAAGATGTTGATTTGTTGATACTACTGTCTGCACGGACTCCAATTGATAAAATTATTTACTTTTTGAAACCTGGGAAAGCTGTTCTTGTGTATGGTGCTCCAGAAAAACAATGGTTCCATAGACAAGTATAGATATTTAAGGCTTGTAAAATCCGCATGGAACAATAAAACAGTGCAGTTGTCTTGTCTGCCTCCAACATCTGCTTCTGCCTTTCAACATTTGTATGGTGTGTATTATCAAGTTCAAGTGTTGCTGGGAAATGAGCTGGACCCAGAAGAATGGGGTTGGAAATTAAGAGATAATTTTTTGGAACCAATTCACACCCTACTCCCGACTGCTCCAGAAAAACTGCTTAATACTATTTTTTATACCTGCAAGACGGATTGTAGTAAGAATTGTGGCTGTCAAAAAGTGGGATTATTTTGTTGGCCAGTATGTATCAATTGTTAGGGTCAGACTTGCTCCAATATTGAATCAAATACAACAGATGACAATACCTATGATATCAATGAAGAGACAACTGATCCATCTCTTTTCTTAGAACAGCGTACAGAAATTCTGCAAGGAGAAGAAGAAAAAAGTGAAGATGAAAAAATAATTTTTTAAGTAGAATCAGAAAATTATCGGAATGGGACTATTTGGCCCGGCCGACTTGGCGCGGCCAACGTGGCGCGGCCCACTTGGTGCGAGGCATTTTGGCGCAAAGCCAACTTGGCGCAGGGACACTTTGGCGCAAGCCATCTTGGCGCGAGCCATCTTGGCGCGAGCACGTCGGTATATAACATAAAAATATTTCTTGTTCGTACTGTGGTTATAGCCAGCCCCGTAGCTAGAAAACTTATTCAGGAGGGGCAAGTTTGTCGAAAGAGGGAGCTTCATGTAAATATATATATTTCAATAATACACTCAGATAACTGTTTTATTTTTTCATTAAAATAATTGTAAACGTCGTTTTTTTCCGCTATTAAATTTTCGTAAAAACCTGTCCAAGTCCAAAGAATTGGTACGGTACTTTTCAAAAGCCAGAAAAACCAAGTTTGCCAATCTTTGATGCGTCATTGCGATCGATTCAGAGAATGTAGATTTACAAACAGCTGTACTGCATCTAAAAATTCGTATATATTGCCAAATAACATACCCTGTAAGAAAATAAAGGGTGGGCGGGTGGGGCTACTAAATATGCTTCAGCAATCGGCATTATATTGAAATTTTATTACTAATTTGAAATTTATAATGTCTAAGTGTTCCAGGGGGGGCAACCACAACTGCTAGGGGGGGCTCAGCCCCATCTTGCCCCCCGTAGCTACGGGGCTGGTTATAGCACCCTGTTATTTATGCCATATGTAGGCAACCAAATACACAGTTTCATTCGCACAAATTCCAATAACTAAATGATCTACGGAGCAAGAAGTTCCACGTTAGGAGTATGTTTATAATGGGGAGCAGGGCGCGAAGCGCCCGTGTGTCCATTAAAAAGTCGACATT